ACTTGAAATACAGAGGATGGTATATTGAGAACAGAGGAAACACGTCAAGCTAGTAAGCGCTTGAAAACAAAATGAAGACCTACGAATTCGGAAAATAACATTCATCTAATCTCACAATATAGTGGTTGAGATTGAGTACGTGGCGCATTCCGGGGTACGTTTTGAGGCCCTTCTCTGTGTGTAGCGGTTAGCCCGCATAAGCGGGATTATATACACATCACATGCGAGCAACTACTTTTTGAGATGAAAATCGAGTGCATGGCGCAATCCTATATGGAGCTTTTCCAAAGTATCAAAGCATTCTTATAGTGTCCGACGAGCTGAATTCAAAGATATCTTCGGATTCTCGAAAGCTCAATTTTGAACCGAGTTATAACGAATTCACGAAATTAACGAGGATTCGCGTTATTCGCGTGAATTTTCGATTTCAAACGGCGAGTACTGTACTTCGCATCTCTGTACTCAGTTTCAATCGCCATATTACCTCCTCATTAAGCCCTACTTTTGCCTTTAGACGGTACTTGAGGAGGAGTGTGCGATTTTAGAGTTGATATCAAGATGAAAATACAAAAGGATGAAGTTGCTGTAGACTACATGTGCTTAGGTCATCACAAACATTTGCATCTCCGAAACAAGCAGGCAACTGCGAATTTTCCGGTATCATCAACTGAGTCTTCACAATGAATAAGTCTGGTGTCAATTCCAGTAGGGCGTTTCTTCTACCTTTCTTGAAATAACCTTTTGGTTTTTGCACCGGGGCCTGAACAAATTTACTACTTGTTGGTGAGGAAGCGAGATATGCCCGTTATTAGCAATGCGAAGGTCGTTCCATCTGTCCGTGAGTGTGTATCATCGCAGCATAAGCTGCATGTGGAGGCTACGTTATGAAAATGTCGTTGGCATATGTGTTTTTCCTCCCGCAGATGGTTGCTCCAAAGACGGTACGTGGAAACATTCCACGTTCTGTCGCTGCTGCCGCCAAGCTGCGTTTCGAGCTATAAGCCCGGCCAACGGTGCATAGAGAAGTAAACATGGCTTTGGACGGAAGAGGTTAAGCAGAGCAGTGGCTGAGAAGAAGAGCGCATACAAAGCGTGGTATGCTCAGAAAAATGCTGAGAATATGGAGCAAGTACGTCGTGGCCTGTAGCAAGCAGCTAGCAAGTAGCTAAGAAATTTGTCACCGCAGCGAAGGCTGAACACTTCCGGGACCTCTACGAAAGACTGGAGTCCAGAGGAGGCGACGTCGTCGAGCTGAGCATCAATCAATGCGGATTCGTAAAGGGATAGGAGGCAACCGACGCAATCATTGCCGGACGTAACTTTTGGAGAAACATTAGGAAAAATAGAAGCCGCTCCATACAGCCTTCCTAGACTGTTCCACACCAGCTGATCTGGTATGCGCTTCGTTAATACAGAGTGCCAAAAGTTTTTAACTGGATCCGAATGCTGTACGCGCGGCACAACAAGTCGAGTCAGATGTGCAGCTGGTCTTTCCAAGAGCTTCCCGATAAACGTTGGCGTTCATCAAGGATCAGCGTTATTACCGTTATTACCGTTGCTTTTCATTCTCGTCCTGGATACAGTCACACAGGTTTGTTGATGATGCTTCGTGGACTCTGCTGTATGCCGACGACATCTCTTCTCGCAGCCACCAGCAGAGATGAACTACAGCATCGAGTTCAGACCTTGGTGCGATCGGCTTAGCCAGTACGGTCTTCGTCTCAACATCAAAAAGACCGAGTACTTGGAAACTGTTCAAGATGAGGGTACTATCCAGGTCACTGGCGAGGATATAGCGAAAACCTGCTTCAGTTATCTGGGCTCCCGCTTACAAGGCAATGGAGGTCTTGACGACGAGAAGAGAATAGGCGCGGCATGGAGGAGATGGAGAGAGATTACCGGAGTGCTTTGCGACAGACGTATGCCGATCCGCCTTAAATCGAAGGTATACCGAGACTATGGTCCGCTCTACTGCATTATACGGATCTGAATGTTGGCCGAGCACAAAAGGCGCTGAGCGTCAACTTCACGCTATGGAGATGCGGATGCTCCGGTGGTCGCTGGGAATCTCACGTCTGGACCATGTTTGCAATAAGTGATTCGAACCTATGGGTGTTGCGCCTATCACAGAGGGAAATGCGAGAGAGACGACTACAGTGGTATGGCCACGTCATACGAGCTGCTCCTGATACTGTCGCTGCCACTGCATACCGCTTTGAAGTCGACGGCAAACGACCGCGTGGGAGACCAAGAAGCGGTGGCAAGACACGATCAACGAAGACATGAAAACTGCACAGCTGCGCAGCGAAGATGCCCTGAATCGAACAAAGTGGCGCTCTTCGATCCGAACAACGGACCCTGCCCCAGCGGGACAACGGTTAAGAAGAAGAAGAAGGTCACACTGAAAATAATAACATTTTTATCATAATCTGCAAATTTGATCTGGCTGCAAGACCACACAGGTATTCGTTACAAACACGTCCGTTGAAGTCCATTTCCGTTACCTTTTAATAGTCTTGAAGGAAAAGCCAGACTCATCAATTTCGTGGTGCTGGCATAAGATCATTGCAAAGGGGTATGGAAATACCTGCTCCATTCATGGATATTTGTGAGGTCCCTACCTTTTCAAATATTCTAGAAATTGTGGCCCACCGCAAATTTAATATCAGGGCTAAACCGAGGGCTTTGGTAAACTCTGGAGCCGTTAAGTAATATGCGAGCTCGCCGCAACCATTCTTCGCATTGAGCTCATCGTCTTGATGAAACTTCTTCTTTTCCTGGTGACTTAATAATAGCTGCGAGACCTTCCGATTCCCCTTTTCTGTTGAACTATGTCTAGGATAGCCTTCGGTAACCGCCACAACCTCCTTTTCTGCTAAAGCCTTACGCCTTCCAGTGTGCTCCCTCACTTGTGACATCGACACATCGTGGATGTGAGGCGTATACACAAAACATGAAGCGACATCAGAATAACAAATTAGTACTAAATTGTACTTTAAGTCTGTTGGGGAGTGGCTTCCCTCCCCACTTCCTTGCTCTCCCTCTACAGCGCCCAGCTGCCTGTGCAGCACAATGTGAAGTGACCGAGTGTGTACTCAGTATGCGCTTATATAGTCGTGTGGGTGTTGTCACGACATTACAAACATTGATAGACAGGTCCTGCGAGCTCCAAGATGCTGTTGGCTTATTCCAAAAGTTCCTTATCAGTCCATCTTTCCCACGGTTAGATGGACATAATACTAACGTACATGCAGACAAGCATACTTACATACCGACACACCAAGTTAGTGGTTCATATAATACAAGGGTTGCTGTTTCACATCGCGATGCCTATTGAGCAGAGTGGGGTTCTTTCACTTCACATTATACTTTCTGGCGCTTGCGTCGTAGGTGGAAGGTGGGGAAGGGAGGGGAGAACATTCGAAGGAGTGACCAACCTATAGCACTTCGCTAAGCCCCCTTGCTTACCTGTACTTATGGTTGGAGATATCTACGAACAGTATACACAGATATTTCCAACCATAAGAACAAATATTCAAACTAGCAATGATCATGTATCGAAAACAAGGTGAGTTAGCTGAAACACGAAACTTTTTTTCATACGTGTTCACGACAATGGTGAAGAATTTCTCACTGAACCAGTGGTAATCATTAGATGAAAGATACGAATCGGAAGAAAAGTTTAACGGACAGAGGATGTAGTCTAGTTGAAATCAAACTGTTGTACAAGATTTATACTGTATTTTTAATTTTTCAAGTTCGTGGTATATACGATTGTGTATACGATAGCCATAAATCTGCTCCATTTCAGTGACTCAAGCCGACCGATTTAAAAGTCATCAAACTTCGAAAGAAGCGTCTCTTGAACCAAAAATCTAATTATTCTATTATGTTTCCACAAAGTCAATCGCAATTAAATGAATATTTACTGATCGGTTCATGTACAACCATAACAAAATGGTGTTTGAAAATCCATAAGTCGAGCAGAAATTATCGGTTCTTTGTCTTTTGCTTGTGGTTTTTCAATGTGGTTGGACCTAGCCATGTTTTGAAACGGGCGCTTAGCTACATATGACAGGAAAACGTCCGAAAACGGACCAAATGCTATCTGCTATGCGATGTGAACGTAGATCACTTCGAAAGACCAAGTTTGCGCTTTTGATGACGTCATTGATGGTCACTTGTGGATCGAACGGTTCAACGTGCTGGGAGATGTGGCTAGAACTATTTTCCAACGACTCACCAATGTGACGTCATCGAAGGCTAAGCCTTCTAGCCATCATGTCTGTTGCCTACGCACACCTTTGTTCTATGCGTACTACCGGCGCAGATTTATCACAGGTAAACCTGATGTCGAAAGAACAAGCGAAACACATTGAATTGGTTCATAAATAGGGGCTTAGGCGCAACTAAAAACCTCTAGGACTCAGACCCACTTAATAAGTCCTTATAGTGGCTAGAAGTGGATGCAACTGCAGAAGGCGCGTTACTTTCCTGCATCAAAACGCGTCGCTCGACCTAATGCGACACGCTCCGCCTAGCCGCTTGATATCATGCGTCGCGATGCTGATCTGCTATGCTCTCTCTACTCGTACTTCTCTAGCGCTCTCCGCGCTCACATTATCTCTCATCTCCCTGCCGGCCTTTTGAACTTCTCCGCAGCGTAGAGCAAAAGGCTCGTTTCCTGTGTATTTCACGATTTTTTTCCTTTTTTCTCCACTGGCGGTCCACTTCCTACCCCTACTTCACATTTGAGTGGAATTACCTCATCAATTTGATCCTGAATCTTGCCTTTAAATTTATAGACCTTTCCCTTGGAAACGAAAACAGTGCAAATGAAGAGAATCAATCATGATGAATTTATGGGATTTATTGGATATTTCTCGCAGTTCTCTACCAGACAGCACAACGGTGCGTAGGATTCATTGGCGTACCAACGGCACAGTTGAAGGCAGTAGCGAATTCAGGCTGATTAGCGAGCACCTGATTAATCCTGAAATAGTGGTGGGTCTTATAATAAATACGATGGAACACAAAGCAGTGATCGAATTTGAGCCTAATACCTATGGTTTGAAGTTAATAAATAACAACGGTGTTCGGGTATTCTCCCTACCACTATTCTTTTTGTTGGTCTGTCCTCGAGCCATGTCTTACATTTGATCACATGAATTATTCATTTTTTCCTCCGAGCTCAGCTAAACACAGAACTGGACGTTTCTATCCTACTATATATAATTCGCTAGGTATGTCTGTGCGCGTGTATGTTGTGTGTGCGTCTGTTTGGACAAAATTCATAGCGCGTTCCGCTGCTACAGTAGGGGGCTGCGCTGACGACCGCCGTTGTGCGAGAATTACTTGGACATTTTTCGTGCTCTCTCATTAACAGGCACCAGTACTTTGGCGTTTCCTTTTTCAGTAATGAAAATTTTTTTGGATCCAATAATGTACATGGACCGCTGTGGAACACACGCCAAATAAATTAAGGAAAAGTAGTCCGCTCAATGTGAAACTGTGGTATGATGTCATACCACAGGTCGCCAACGTGTTAAATATGCTGTAGGGGGTGGAACAGGAGCATGGTGAGGGACAGAAAGTGATAACGGCCGATAAGGTAAGAGGTATCAATACTTTAATTCCACGACATTCATAACGCGCGTCCCAGCATCAGTGAGGCGTTGGTTCCAAGAAGTGATGTAGAGGGTAGGACGGGAACATCTTTGGTGGGGACCCAAAGTGATAACGACTGATAAGATCCGATAAGAGGCGCCAAAACGCAATTTCACGATATCCATAGCGCGCGTCCCAGCAGCAGTGAGGCGTTGGTTCCAAGAAGTGATGTAGAGGATAGGACGGGAACATCTTTGGTGGAAAAACCAAGAACGCAAGAATATAGAGGTCACTTACCGGACTTTAGGTAAAGCATTTCATTTCGATGTCCTTCTATTTGTGTGGTCACCATTAGACCACTACTTCCCCCAAAAATCCGGAGAATGTATGGTAGATGTTCAAGGAAATACGATAACGAGTACTGGTGTTTCTTTTTTAACATCAAACACAATCCGACCGCTAAATTACACTGACATTCGATGCATGGTGGTTGTTTACAGACACCACTTTAGCTCCGCACTCCACTGCGCGTATCAAACGGTGAGCTTCTGCAAAGATGGCAGCCTATGGAACGGTCAGCTAACGCATTTTACGAAGCAACTCAATGTTTAGCGGTGAGTCTAACGCTTTATCAGCTGTCCTGTTTCACATAGTCCTTCTGTTTCACGGAAGCTGGCGGAGCTAACCTGGTTATTTATATTACACAATTTCTCGAGGAATGATTCCAATCAAAACTGTTATTTCTCGAAGAGAATATGGAGACCATTCCCTTCCTAACCCAGGCAGTCCTGAGAATTTTTCAGTATTGGTACTTCAGTACTTTGATGGAATCCGAATGAGACATATTGGAACCTGCCGGAAAAGAAGCAATGTTATAATAATGAACCTTCGATCTAATCAGATATCCAAAAAGGTGAATAGCTTGCAAGTGCAGGCAGAAAGTCATGTGGCTGAGCTTACATCACCACCGCACAAGTCAGCGGTTTAGAGCCCAGGGGCGAGTGCAACAATTACTCGCCGGGGACGGCTCATCATCTCCGAGGACGAGTCCACATCTCCGGAAAGAAAGGAAGACAACCCACGGTTCACATCCTTGAACGAAATTCTTTAACCCATGCACCAAATAATTACATTTCCGCCCCTGACTGTAACATTTGTATGGAAGATCAGGGCCCACAGCCGTATTGTTCTCGCGCACAAAGAACTAAGCGAACAATTTGAATCTACGCAAATTGTTCTGTAATTGTCTGAGAATTGTCAGAGTGTAGATAACTAACCGATAGCGTTCTGGAGAGTGATTATCGGTGAGAATGGTATCTATAAGCTCATCCTGTGTCGTATGACCACAATGGACCTATAAGCATTAACTGTCGCGAATAGCTATCATGGTGTACTTACAAAGAATCAGTACCATGGCGAATCCCATGAAGAAAATCTGTTCGTTACTGTATTGTTCCAGTCCCTCAATACGCTTTTCTTCTCCATGTTTCTTCAAGAACCTTTTATATGCCTGAATGGTGGTGTGCCAAGGCAACATGAAAGGTAAAGATTAAAAAAGATATCGATGCAGGGGATATTGTGACTAAAAATCATTAGCTCCATATCACATCTGAAGGTTACACTTCCCAACTCAACGTGAGAGATCACAGGGTGAGTGACCGTCGAGAAAGAATAATTCCGGGCAGGGTCGAGAGTAAGGAAAGGAGTGAGTAGAGTTGTACATGGTGTGGCATAGCTATGGTGAAAAGTAATTGTGGCCCAGTTTGAAGCAGAAAGGTCGAACCGGGATACCAGGTACCAGCTGTTAGTCCATATCCTTTCAAACAAGTGTCCACATTTCTTATTCAAAATGGCCGCCTATAAACTTGGCAATTCCTCAAAACGTTCCCTACAGAAATTGACCTTTGCCCGCATGACATCCTTCAAACTTCATCTCATACTTTTTGAAGAACAGCTGTTAGCGATCCATTCAACTGTGTTGTTTCGCGCACTTCTTCAGCTTCAACATCGACCACAATAACAATCCGCTACATTCAAATCGGAGGTTTTGGCTGGCCAATCTTTGTGCACCCCAAAGTCGGACAAATGGCTCTGCAGCAGACTTCACAAAATTCAATCCATGATCCGGCATAGCGCTTGCTTGTGGAGCAAATTGTTATGAGTATTGGAGGCGACGAGAGTTCTCTCCAGGATGCTACCCTGAATAGCATTCGGTTTGAGATTTTACTCCCACACGGGCGAAAACCAACTGAGATGAAGAAATCGCGGTTACTCAGGTTCACTTCATCGCTGAGCTAGGAGATTGTATTTGATTTCCGCTGTTCCTGCTCTGCTAGTTTCTTTGGAACTTCCTAGGAATCACTCCTAAATTTTCTCGAATAAAGGCCTGATCGTCCATGAAAATATAAAAGATATCCTCGTAACACTTGGGGTCCCTTCGCAGCCCACGCCCCAAGCCGTCGACAATTTTACCTCTGCTCTTCCATTCCCCATCTGATGGATCCTGTCATGTATGGTATTTATAAGCGAGTATCCCATGCTTTCTTTGCGGATCTCTTCGCACCATTTACCCTAATGCTGTCAAAGTTGTAGCCAGTTTTATTGTAGTCCTCTCCATATCTTGGCGGATATGCCTTTGACTATATTCTCAACTGCCTTCTGGTTTCCGTGACTGATCAACCTCTATGAGAAAGGCTAGCATGAGTACTGCAATAGAGAGTCGTAGGACGATCTGGTGATGCATCCTTCGGATACGGCAGATCTTGGAAAGAATCCACCCGGCAGCGCGTGAGACTAGAAATTCCACTCGTTTCGGATTAGGTGGAGCCATTCACCAAATAAAGATCATGAAACCATGAAACCATAGGATTATATACAAAATGCTGGCAAATCTGATGGTCTAGTCCTAAGCTCTGCTCATTGCTGAGTAGATGCGTTTGCTGTGGTTCAATCTTGTCACCATATTTATGCCCCACCCTGTAGTTGCCTTCTTCTATACCTCCAGGGAACGACCTAAAGGATGCGCCAAAATTACCTGCTCCAATTTCCGCCCTTGAAAATCTGTATAACAATAAATTAAGGGCTCGTTTTCTTATACAAGTTCACGAATGAAATGCCTCAACCAAACGCTGCTTCACCTCTTAAAGTGTCCCTTTTGGAACGAGCTTTAGCCTTTAGTTGTGAAGAGAGGTCGTTCACCGTGGTGGGTGTTTCAAACAAATTTCTTCCTAAACGCAGAGCAGGTTCGTTATCTGGGCTGCGTCTAGGTGTTGTAGTTAGTGGCACGCCTCGCTCTCCAGAAAGCTTAGCACGAAATATCCTACTCTGTTCAAGAGTCCTTTTAGTTGACCGCAACTGAGCGCTGGTGAGACCGGGGCCGGTGGTTCTCGCGTGCTGCGATGTCACCTTCGATTTGCCAACAAGTGCTGCACCATGCTGAGACGAGCGGTCCGGATGTGGGACTCTGTCCAGGAGAGTGAGAAGTTAGTCGGCGCACCCTCCAGCTTAACTTCTTTTTGATATAAACAAATGGGGACACGACTTCATGGCCAATGCAGACCAAACCATGATTTCCTTGCCTTTCCGTAACATTCACGAATTCTCCATCTATCATCACCTTCCACCGTCCCTAGGCACAGCGACCCATCATGTTGACGATCAGAAATTAGGTTTACTCCTAACGGCACCGAAGAGGACCATTTTCGGTGGTGCGCTGGCGTAATCGTTCGGAAAAAAATCTTGGAATTATCGCACCGTATTGTCGCTATGGATGGAGCGTGGGGTGAGGCATTTCGGCAGCTAGTAATCCAATTGACGGATAACTCCTCTAGCTTTCTGACTATACTTGTGAGCGAATTCGTCGGGTTGGGGCGCACCATATCTCGCACCATTTTGACATTTTTCCGTGCAAGTTGCAGCTGTGGTATCCACCATTCTCAGCGGTATTCCACATCTTCGAAGTCGTTTTATTTTGGCTATTATTTTCGCACTGGGACCAAGCACATTCAACTGAGTGAGTGGTTATGGCTCGCGGAAATAAAGTCTTATCGTTCTGAGAAACTTGGACGCTCAAAAGTGGAATTCGATGCACTGATAGAGGACATGATAACTAAAATGCTGATCACCAATTGCTCGCTCGTTGCTTACAAGTATCAGCAGAGCAATCACTATAACTCTAGCATGTGATTTTGGCGCACCCTGCATATCCCATCTTCCCCTTCACGAAGTCAACCGAGTGTACCCTGATCAACTCCTCAAACAATTCCTCATACAGCAACTCCCACAAACTCTCGTACTTGTCTTCGATTGTGTTACCACAATGTTTAGGTTTATGGCTGATAGACTCTGAAAGCTGCGTTTGCAGGAGTCAGACAGGAACAAGCGTCTGAAGATACCCATGATTGAGCACAGCCACTTTGTACAGTATTACTTTGAGGGGAACAAGTACAATAATAATGCAGTATTGAGCGACATACCCTGAACGCTTGTTTCACTCCTCCATTGTCAGCGATATTCTCTCCTTGAGTGAGCTTGCCGTTCAAGTTGAGATCAGTCCCTGGTACCTGTAGAACTTCATTTTGATATGAAAAAAGCTCGTCACTTCACATGAGGCTCAGGAACAACCTCTATTTCTCCGTATTGGTCGATGATACATTGTGCACGATCTAAAAACTTTTTCTTAACATCTGTGTCCCACCAGTCACGGAGGTTGCCAATTGCATCGAATTGCCGACCTGAATGCGAATTTGACGATGAAAAGGAAGCTCGCTACGAATAAGAGTAGAGGTATTAGTAGTGCAGTGATGAAGAAAAACAATTAGAAATGGTTTAGAGTCCGGAAAGATGGGACCCATTTCTTGCCTGTTGATTTGCGCATTGACGCAACCCTCATCTCTGCTAACCTCGGCGACGCTAATACTCTCTCTGCTAGGCGGCTGGGAAAAAGCGTAGGTGGGTAGCGGCGAAAGGCTCGGCGGCCATGCTACAACGCCAAGGGCACATCCTTGGCTGCGAAATGCGCGTCGAGTACGCCTATCTTCCCACTAGTAGGTTTACCCTTCTTCAACCTCCGACCTTATCTTGACATTCGCCTTTAATTCGGTAGTTTGTGCAGCATCGAAGGGCTCTGGTTTGAAAAACGATGTGGGTGCTGTACGTAATGGTGTGCTTTATGATTTGGCAGTTTTCCTACTATGGAAACACTGCGTACCCTCACAAAGTTGTAAAGGAAATATGACGTGAAATGGTTAGACAAGTCATGAAGAACTGCAGTCAGAGAAGAAAGCTAATAAAATACACTGGTGTGCAAAACACAGAGCGGAATTAACTTTTACATGATATTTTTCTTCGAATACACTGTCTGAAAGGTGAGAAGTGAGGTGGATGAGGCTACTCCAACTCATGGTAGACATTCAAAAGAGAGGAGCTGGTTCTTGATGGGGTGTATGAACACTACGGACTGCAAAGCATGCTCTGCCACGTGCTCCAATACTGGCACAAGGTTGGTTAAGAGTTCTTGTGGAGAAGCGATCCATTCCTTGAAGACCGCGATTGACAACTGCTGGACAGTTGTTGGCGCATGGGGATGCGCTACAATAGCTTTCCTGAATGCACGCCACACGTGCTCCATAGGATTTGACTGGAGAAAGCAGGCAGATTCCACCAATCACCGGAAATCCTCGCTTTCTAAAATGTCCCCACCTAGTCTCGCACTCGTCTCCATACAATTGAAGTTGAGGTCACACCCCTGAAAAGGTGCTCATGAGCAAGGAGGTACAACACCACAATCACGTTGATCAGAAAGTGTAACGCGATCATGAGTTGGGGATCAGTACGCCCCGACAACTTTATGCCTCCCCACATCATGTCGCATGCACTACCAAAACAATCATGTTAAACGATGGTCCTGGGTAGATTACACGTTCCTATTTTCCCCATATGCAGGTAAGTCCAGAATCACTACTCACATTCAGTTTGCTCTTGACCGGGAAGAATACGCGATTTTTCAAATCGGTGGTCCATCTCCAATGTCCCGGCACCTAGCAAATGTTCCCACCGGTGCGCGGGTTTCAAAGAAACACCAGATCCTGTTGGTCGGTAAAGAGACCATCCCTATAGGGTCCACCATCTACTCTTCTAAGGGCAGCAGCAGTCCATGCGCTCCCTTCAAAACACAACCATGACTGTGAGACCCTTGTCGTTGCGCTTGTACAGTTTAATACAATTCCATCGAATTGTTAACAAGTTATATCAACTTATCCATCTCGTCAAGTTTTGCACACCAGCGTATGATATCGCTCAAAACGAAGCTGTGTAGTACATAAATCCGTTAACTGAACCACTTGGGCGTAAATGGAAAGGACAGCTACTGAAAAACATATAAAACATTAATGGAGTTTTCTGCGAGTTCTCGGTTTCTATTCAGAATATTAGTAACATTCGGATGTTGCCAATAGAACCCCATTCCCAGCGGCCCAATTCAAAAAATAGCGCTTTTATCTCTTCAGACGAGTCTTGAGCTCGTTAACGACCATCGAGTGATAGATTCTTGGGAATGCGCGCAAATCGTTCCATTTTTCGACATCTGGATTATTTTTATGATAGCGGCCTTGTCACTTTAATCTTATACTTATTGAACGACGGTAAGAAGTGATGAGGATATCACCGCCACATAGCCTTGTGAGATCCATAAGGGTCATCTCAACGTAAGGGGTAAAAGCGAGGAGGTAAGCAGACCAGCGCTTTTGGCGTTTCTGCTGGGGCCGTATGCTGAATGTTGGGGAGGGGATGGGGTCCCCGAAGGTCGACGGACTACTTCAACTCGGTCGGTACGGTAGGAGAGTACTGACGCAAGTGGTGCTGGTCCAGCAGCTCCGCCAGAAGGGCTGGTTTGCTCACCCCAGGACTAAGCCTTGGAGAGAGGACGGACCCGTCTCTCTCCGTCCTCTCTTTAAGGCTTAGTCCTGAGGTAAGCATCCAAATTGAGGCGGTTTTAAGGACCGAGTTGAAGTAGTCCGTCGACCGTCGGGGACCCCATCCCCTCCCAACATTCAGCATACGGCCCCAGCAGAAACGCCAAAAGGGCTGGTTTGCTTATTCAGAAGCATTATAAAATAGGTTGCGCAGGATCAAAACAAGTCAAGGTAAGAGCAATTATAATACGCAAAACCTGGGGAGCAGAACGATTTCTACAGCAGTTCTATAGCTTAAACGATACTTTGTTCCTAAGTTTAATGTGCATTTGGCAACAAAATAGCAACAAATCTGTCAATGGAACAAAAGTCATTGCCTTCATCATCAAATCCGTGAGTAATTTCATGTCCAATAATGGCTCCAATTCCTCCGTAGTTGAGCGCTCTGTAAAATTTTAGGCTCCTCCTTACAGTCACAAGATTGAATCATATCCATTCTCAATCACCGCAGACAATGTGAAATTGTGGCTAGTCCAGAACTGTTCTCCTTTGTCTAGCAAGAACTTTTTTTTGAAGGCAGCGATTACGATTCTAGCAAGAACCTTTCTCTTGAACCTGGCAGCGTTTACGATAAGTTCTGGAGTGGTTAAGAGAGGTCGTGGAGGTGCTCAATGATACGCCATAGGCAAAAAAGCAGAAAAAGCCGTCGAGAATAGTACCCCCTTGATTGCCCGTTCATTTTCAACCAGGGATGAGCGGTCACAAAGAAATAAGTGCTACGGACTCGTTAAAAGCCGCCATCATGCCAACAGTTTTGAGTGATAAGGCATTACATAGGCAAATTGGAAGATACAGCCCTAAAGGGGAAATGATCTTCCAAAATGAAAAGCCAACAGCAAACAGCTCGCCCAAGTCATAACAGTGGGCGTAACGCTTTCGGGGCGGAGTGCTTCGGAAGTCCTGCTCAGCAACCAGGGCACCTTTCGTCGTGAAAGCGCCACACTTCGCTTTCATTACAGTCACGTAACTGCATATGCATACTCCCCCCAATGCGGCCCTTCCTCATAGATGTCGCTTCCTTCAAGCTTAATTTTTGCCCTAGCTAATTAATAATGCTTAAGCTAATTAATAATGCTTAATAGTGCTTAATTTTTGCTCATTTTAGACCACTTTACAAACATCTCACATCGAAAGATCAGCGTATCTCAAGCTTACTTTGGAAAGGCATGATGAAAGAGCGGCGATTGCAAAATAGAGGCTGGAAAGTCTGCAAAAAGAAAATGTAATCAAGCAGTCTGAAGTGTGAGAGTAATAATCGAGCAAAAAATATTCTGACGGCAGAGGTCACAGACTTATTACATTGGAGTGGGGCGAGTAGTAAGCATCGACGACAACAGCGTTGAAGTCATACTCGCTTCGATCGACGGGCTCGATAAGACGTTTGAAATCGAATTCGATGTCAAAGCGTGATGTCTTCTCTACCATTTGGCTGTACGAGTCGGAATCCTTCACAGAGAACTAAAAGCTGATTGTGAAGACTCGGGCTGTCGCAGTCCACATACGCAACACAGCATAAGAGAATAATGCGATCCTTTGTTCTCTGGCTGCCCAGTCCTGACAAAAGTTACAGACCATCAGAAAAAAAATAATTACGTTATTGTAATGGTTGTCCAGTTCCTTGCTATCAAGAATGAATGGCGGATAAGCAATCAGGCTCAGCATCTCCTGGATTTTCCCGAATGCAGTCTGAAATTACAGAATTGATTCACAAAGCACACATTCTATGATATTAGGCTGGACAAAAATTGGTGAACAAGATCTTCTTCTTTTTCAGGGTCTACTTGGCTGAGCAAATGGCTGAGCATTTTTTAAAATGTTGTGTTAGAAAGTCTATGAAACTTCGATAGATAAAGCTGAATCTACACGTGTAAAACAATAATATTAGGTTGGAAAGAAAGTTCTGCGACACTCTTTCTAAAATTTTCTTTTTTTCTGAAAAATTCATAGGTAACATTTATGACTAACAAATGGTAGAGCATTCTCGAGGCTTCAATCCACGAGGTGGATATAAGTGCTGCAGTCAGTAGTTATCCAAGAAAATTCAAAAAACCTCGACCACTGTAAATCCATACTCCGAGTCACTGTCTAGTACAAATGTCTCCATAACTATGGATTCGTGTCAAAAAATAAAATCGTAACATTTCAACAAATCGTTGGAATTAGACGAGACTCTGCAAGCGTACTGCAAAAAGCCTTACAGCCATGGACGCGAGCCCGGGGCTCTTATAGACAGCGGACGGCTCCAGCCTGGAGCCAAAAGGGAGTGGCTAGATAAAACGAAGGATTTGGTGGGACAGGACAAGAAGGAGTGTACTGAGCGAGAAGATCATCCGGAAGCATTCGAGACGGGGGCAGAAGACGCTGGTGCCAAATAGCGCGTTCAAGATTGCGAGAGTATCCGTCTAGTTCGGCTATCCCGGCTTCTCCGGAAGGATATGACGAGTGAAGCGCGTGTGTGTTGGAGCGTCGAGCGCAGCGACCAGTAAGCGGGTGTTCATAGCTCCGTATTCCTTGGCAATAAAGCTCGAGGCTTCTTGCGGCCTTACCAGGGATTAAAGCAGTTGTCTTGGTCGGCACCGAAGGAGAACTTCTAGATTCTCCTCGAGACCGTAGTCGCAATACGGTCTCGAGCGGCGCGACTGTGGGCGTGGCCATCTTCTGGAGCAGGTCGACGAGGAGCTTCTGTTGAGCGGCCATCATCTGCAGCAGGTCCTTGAGCGTGAGTATCTTGCATCCCGGCGATGGCAGGCGTGGCCCTTGACGTCGGTCTCGTTGTTCTGTCCCTCGGGAGAGGAGCAGTAATAAAATATTTATTTTAAAACATTGAAGTGAATTACAAAGAAAACGTACTCTTATACAGTGCGGTGCAAAGTCATAGGACACCGCCCCCCCCCCCTCAACAAAAAAATACGAATATCTCGGCTTTTAGAAATCGTCATTTATCGCAACCTGTAAAATCAGAACATCTTTATAAAAAAACCTACACCCACAAATCACCAGGTTATCCGATTAACTTCCGTCTTTTTAGACAAATTTGCTTTTGACTTGAATTTTTGACAAATTTCGGAGATAGTGCAAAATCAACGACCCCCACTTTCAAAACCTTAAAAATGCAGAAATGAAAAAAATAGCTGAATCTTATTGCTTTAGTGCTACAAAGAGAACTAGTAGAACGACATATCTATAAAAGAAGAAATGCTGCCGCAAATTGTTCTTCATATTTAAATCGAACTGGTGCACATCATTGCGAATGCGGCTTCAACATTGAAAGTGTCTCATCTTATCTTGAGTGTCTCATCTTTCCATCGCGGGCCATTCTATTAAAGTCTTGTTGAAGGCGCGAGTCAGGATTGAATTGTTCAAACATTAGACAAGGGGTGCAATGAGGAACATTAGTGAGGAGAAAAAGCAAAAAGCACCATAGAAAACACTAAATTTCCCTTAGGAGGCCGGCCGTAGTACGACGGAGAGACACAGCGCTGCGAGGAGAGAACGCGAGATAGTACGTCGTACGCGAGAGGACGCAGAGACCACGTATGCCGTGGTGGATTACGCTGGCAGCGCGGGCAGCGCGGCGGCAAGGCCTTAGCGCCATTGCCGCGCACTTTTGGGTCGCGATAGTGTCGCGCCCTCAGTGCTTGGGGAGCCCACTATCGCACCCTGGGAAGAACTTCTGCTGGTTGCCTAATCCTGACTCGTGGCTTTAAGCGAGTGCTTCAATGATCCAGTGGTTGCACTGGATCATTGAAACTTTCGCTTAACAGGGTGTGTCGTCAAATTTGCTATCTTTTCAACGGTCAGTTTTCTTCACAGCCTTACAGGGAGTGAGAAAAAAAGAGTAACTCCTCTCCGCATTCAAAACCAAAACGGAATTACTTACACTTTTCCTTATCACCAAGAGAGCCCAACTGGAAATTGAAGAGCACATCCTAATCTCTTGAAAAACTGCATAACATCCTTTCTTTTCCATCAAAAGATTTTCCCACGGAAAAATAATGCACGGGAAGAGCTCAACGAGGTCGTCGAAAGACAGTATCATTACGTCGTCTGAAACGCTGGTCAAAAGCGGTCTTGCATATTCACAGCTAGTGTCTCTGGGAAGCTATTCACCAGTTAATTCATTGAAGAAATTATGTAGCAGCTTCAGCTGGAGCGATTACGGTAGGCCTCCTGGAGCTCGACGATTATGGTAGATGACGCATACTCTGAAGACAGAGTGCAATCAGGAAAGACCTACTTCTTCACTTCTTCACCTTACTTAACACTTAAAAGGCAAACCCGGGATTAGCCCGACTAGTAGGAGGGATACCACGAGGGAAATTGTAAGGTCCGTACCTACCTAGATCACTCCAGCTTCGTCGCAAAAATGCGCGGTTAGGGCGCTAATCCTTACGGGCCTGCAACCATCGACCCCGTTCCAACGCTTCCCACCCACCGCGAGAGGTGGTGAGATCAGCGTGCATTGATGAGAGATCAGCGTGCTCTCTCAAAAAGACGTGCTCTTTCTCGCCATCGTACCACATCCGACCCTGTTGAAGGTTAAGGCCTTATTTCAGCGTTCCCAAAGATTTCTCTTGCTTTCCTTTCCACTTTCAGGTTGTTCCGCAGCTAAGCTATCACTACAAAGCGCTGATAGCACCTGTTTAGTCCCGCATTTTGTCTTTAAACATCAACATGCATCCTGCGTGACGGAAAGTTGATACGCGCCAGGTTGTATTAGGTTGATATATAAGTGGTGTCGCTTTCCTCCAAACTGGGTATTTTCTTCTAAATTCTCCATGCTTTTACACCATGTCATATACCATTCGAAAGAGAATTGTCTGCTCTACAAGATGCTATGTTCCCTTCCACCTCTGTTCAGGGTTTTCAAATTTTAGGCCTGCGAAATGGGAGGTCCAGCCGACAAAAATTGACCAAACCGACAACTAGCTCTAACTTTATCTTCCCTTCAGAAATCAATCAATGATGTACCCTCTACTTATGCATGACCTCTTCTGAACATTACACTATTAGGTTTCCCAACAAGTCGCGTCGCTCCTTTTCCAGATCTTGTTTTTCAACAAGAACTCGACTGTCGAGCACCATTTTTCGGCACATATTCCAGTTTACACCTCCTTATACACCAGGTTCAGCTCGTGACTTGCCTTTAATATCTATTGCCCACATTTCATAGTTTCAGAAGTGATGATTTTGAAGAAAAGACTGTCGAACACGTCCTGATCCTTATTACTACAGAAGTGCTCAATTTTCTACAAAAACCTTTCTTGTAGTTTCATCCATCCAGTTGACCTCGATAAGCATTTCTTTGAACGCTGCTCGTAAGTCGTCTACCATGTCTAGTGTTACGTTCTTGGATGCCTGTAATTACAGTGCCAGTACAGTGTTTATGCAACTACAATACATCGTGGTCCAGCGAAACACGACCGCTTTGCAAACTAACCTTGTTGAAGAATTTGCTTACATAGATGGCTCCTGCAGCATGTTGCATCCTTTCTACCGTATCGTGGGTACACCTTTTCCATCTAGGTGACTTTTGTTTTCTTCCATACATCAAGAGTTCAAACTCCTCAAATCAGAGTCATTCACAACCAAGGCAACTTCAATTGTTTCACAAACATTTACATGAACTTATTTGCCGAAGCCGGAGAGATGCTAGTGCCGCTATCAATTCTCCCAAAATAACCCGCACACGAATAAGGGAGCATAAAAAAGTGGAGACGTTTGTCGCTGGATATCTCTTGTAAAGAACAGAGAAGCTGCAGTTAAAGGAATCTTGCGCGGAAAATTCTTGCACTCTTTCCTAACATGAATATGTCAGTTGTGATCACTGGAAATAGCACACAAAGTTTCACGCATGAAGATTCGGTTTCTGAAGAGAAACAAACGTACAAAAACTACACGTTATGGACCATCGAAGGACCAGGAGGCAGAGCCAGGCGAGGCATGGAAAGAAGACGGCGTTTGGCCGGCTACGTACCAGGCGACGCAATGAGAGAATCGGGTTAAAGCGCGCGATTTCGGAGAGTGGAGACAAATCGATCGATGGAATAGGATGGAGTAGAAGTGTAAGATGTGAATGCAACGAAGCAGAAGGCCAGAAAGAGCTTCTAGTGAATGCACTCCAAGAACCAAGTTTGAGCATCCCCGTCGCCAGCATTCGTGAAAGACGTCCGTGGGCAATTCGAACGCGTAGCAGCCTTTTCGAGTTTTCGAATTTCTAATCAAAACGAAAGCAATACTTCAGTTCTTTTCACTATTATCGTGGATAATGAGTCTCAAGCCAGTGATTTATGGCTGAAATAGAATCATGATTTTTCCGCGCAAGATTCCTTTAAGAGAAGTGTGCTGGTACTCATAGAAGTTTGTCGGCGGTGGTGTCTCACAAAGAGATCTGGAGAGAGCTACCGCCATAAGATCAGTTTCAAAATCGATCAAAAACCCTTGCAAACAAAGGGTGCCCTGAAAGGCAGTCGCCAACACATAGCAGTAAATTTCTAGGTAGTGCTCTTAAAAGCAAACTCCCGGGATTAGCCCGACTAGTAGGAAGGATACCGCGAGGGAAATTGTAAGACCCGTACCTACCTAGATCACTTCAACTTGGTCGCGAAAATCGCGCGGTTAGGGCGCTAATCCTTACGGGCCTCCAACCATCGAACGCTTCCCACCCACCGCGAGATGTGGTGAGATCAGCGTGCATTGATGTAGAGATCAGCGTGCTCTCTCAAACGACGTTCTCTCTCGCGTGTTTTGACCTCTCTGATCGCCCTGTCTTGCCATCGTACCACATCCGACCTTTTTGAAGGTTAAGGCCTTAAGTTCAGCGTTCCCAAAGAGTTTCCCTCTCCACTTTGGGGTCGCTCCGCAGCTAAGCTATCACTGCGAAGCGCTCTTAGCACCAGTTTAATTCCGGAAATTGCCTTTAAAAGAGCATTATTCGTTCAAGTCATCACTACGGTTTCTGATTGTCACCTTACTTGGAGTTACTGCCATTGAAAGCGCACTGACCGCAGCTCAAAAAAGGGTTAGCAAACTGAAATTCCGAATGTTATTTCTGATGCGATCACTCCACAAGACAGATTAAGTATTTCGAGGTAGATTTGTGTGAGTCTATTATACATTCGGACTCAGCTTCAGATTTCCGGGAACAATTTCAGAAGAGTTGTGATCGTTTGAAGATTGAAACACGATATGCTCTAAAAGGAGATTGGACGAGCAATGTACATTCACTAAGGCTTGAGTATCTTCGAAGAGAAGGATTCAAACCTCGCAAATCCTGAGTACTTCGCGTTAATATTCAAGGAAAGCAATTGAAAAATATGGATGCGCATTTTATAAAAAAGAGGTTTTTAACGCTTTGTGTAATTTAGTGGTTATTATGGCCCGCCAGTAGTAGGAATGTGATTTCGAATCTTTATGAACTTTCAGATTCGCATTTCGGATCGGGTTTCGTAGGAAATGATGCTCACATGAAATACATCAAGGTCTGCCTCTCACTGTTTCATCTTCTGGAGGGAGTCATACTATCACTCTCTCAAAGTGAGAGGAATCACAAAGTTAATGTTTGACCCTGCTCATGGAACCGAAGACACTACAAAGGTAGTGTAATCATGAAGTAAGCATGAGCATTTGTAGGTCAAGTATTCTGAGCTTCTTTCTCTCCTCTGTTTTGCATTTGGGAACGGTTTGAGCAAGAAGGAAAATTCAAACCTGGAAGACATCTTCAAATCGCTCTCCTAATTCTCCATCCCAAGCGGAAAGAAAGCGAATAAAAATATAATTAGTAGTGGTCCGAGGATCGGTCAACTGCAGTAGTTTAGCGATTCTGAAGCGAATCAGTAGTCAATCATGCAACATTGATCGGTGAAGACCAGTTGCCTTTTCATATAATCAGGTTCCACAATTAAAATTTCTGGATCAGCCGCGAAATATTCGTGGAGAGGAAGAGGTGCTATGGAGAGGAAGTATCTAGACCAGTCAATCTGCAAGGAATCATCATTCAAACCATTGGAAAGACTCAGAACCATGCTACTCACCATTGGCGTCAGCTTCTCCATATCGCTGAGACGTCGAAGATTGTATCTTTCGAAGTGGTCTCTGCGATCCTCCTCGGCCACCATGATTCTAGCGATCTTCGTCTCAAGTTCGATGAGCTCATCCACATCGCTTGTGATCTTCTCGTCATTGCTCGGGAGATTGGCATATTCGTAAATAAGTTTTACCTGGAGCAGTCGTCACTTTTTTGCTGTGATTTAGGAAGAAGATGATTACAGGAAAAGAGAAATAATTGCCCTAACTCTTCTTATAAGAAGGTGTTTATAAGCAGCAATCTTCTTCTCGTGTTTCGCTCGGTCCAAATAGTAATCGCGTGTATTTGCTCCCAGACCGAGATCTGCTTGGTCAAACTGCAAAGAAAGCTTTTACGTGACAGATCTTTCAGCAGTTGTACTTTGTTTGATTTTTCCTTGCAATGCTGCGAGCTGAGATCGATTAAAGTATGCGTTGCAGTAACAGAATATTGAGAAATGGCCGAAAATGTCAGAACCATCGGGAAGGTTTCGAAGCACAGCTCCTTTTTTGCACTAATAGTTTGATAACTTGTCATGAAGATGAAGCGTGAGAAACTTGACATACTACGGATTTTGAAGCTTCGCATTGCTATGTATCGCGTTGCTGTTTCATTACGTATTGCGCCAGTTAGCCTACTTTTCTGCTTGTGCGAAGCGAAAAAAGAAAAGGCACTAGGTCAAGTATGATTTCTATTATTTAAGTTTTGCTATATTTCCCTACCTTAATAAGCCTTCTTGAAGCGTTTTTGTCGTCGAGCGCGACGTAGTTGGCGATGAAGACGTTAATATCTCTCGTTTCACTAACGTAAATCAGTAGCGAAGTAAGATCAAATTCTCTGGCACGCCACTTGTCGTCACCATCCACCATTGGCCACACGCCGTAATTCTGACGAAAATGGTACTAGATTATAAAGTTCACTTTGATTAGTGACATACTTCTTTTAGTGTACACAAGTAATATTTACGAGTGATTTATTCCCTGCTTGCATACGCAAAAATGGAACGATCAAAAAAGTGTAAGTTCCAAAATGCGCCTTCCTTGCCTATGATTTGAGCACCTCGGCTGCTACTTCTATCAAGCTTTGAGGGGTATGGTATCGAGCCCTCGTGAACAATCTGTCAGTGGTCGACCCTTCGAGTCTTGGACCATTTTTATAGGTGTGGAATAAAAACCCTGTCCAGAAAAATTGTTCATTGTGATGAATCATAAGCAGCTCAACGCCGAGAGCATGTAGACGAACGGAGAGAGAAGGGTGCAAAATAGTTTGAAGGAGTCCGTAGATAAATTGATTCAGTTTTTTAATATGGTAAATACTAGTAGGAAAGGTGATCAAAATGAGTAAGTATACTACATAACAGGAATTCACATTCCTGTCAATAAATGCTTGAGACAACACACCCTTATGGCTTGCAGTAGCTGAGTAGAGCCAATGCTCGTCAGCTCTTTTTTGTCCATACATTTGCGGTACATAGACTTCAGAGCGTTCACTGCGTTTGAAGAGGAAATTTCCGGCGATTCGAACGCACCTAGGCTAGGCACTGGTGCTTTTGTTTTACGAATGCTAGCGGAGACGAGAATTTCACTGCTCTCTGAAGATTGTTATAAATATGTGTATCACCTCTCATTTGTTCCTCAACCTTATCAGAAAGCACTTCCAATTGTGTAATGCTGGTTTTGTATTCCGGAATCGGATGCGCACTTATCCATTTTCCACAAGTGAACTCGAAAAAATCCACGCATGGATCTGTCTGAAATTTCTGATTTTGGTCAGCGTCCACGATGTTATCACACAGCTGCAACAACTTGAGTATAGAATTCCTCAATTCTAGTGTTTCCTTAGGGGGAATTTTGCTTGTGTTCCTTATTGGGAGTCCCCCTCCATTCGCTTCAGAGAAGAATGGAAAAGTAATTCGACTGCGATGAGTACTTTTAATGGTTTCGGTGCAGCGTATTGTGTGTCTGCGTGCTACACTACTTTACTACAGTCCAGTAAGTGAGAGGCAGACATAGCACTGGGAGAAAAGGATTAGCACAGGGTACGTCAAAATAACAGCGACAACGTTTTCGAGTTGCTTGAAATGAGCATGCTAAAATACTGAAACTATAAATGCAGTAAGGTTCACATATTTCCTTGATTGGTATCTGCATGGGCCTTGGGAATCATTAAGCTGCTATCTAGTGTTGCACGCAATGTGGCGCGGGATTTTTTCCACTCATTTTGAAGCAATTTCTTCAATAACTTCTCAGGAAAGTAATCTTCAATGTAAGCTTCCAGAATCTATCCGGCAATTGGTCCATCGAATTCAAATATGAAGTGCTGAAGTCGATGAAGTAGGCAGAATCTTATGCATTACCATTTTCTTGAGGGTGACAGCTCCTCTTTGATGGCTCCACCAACGATTTTCAAAGTGAAAATGATCCTAGGATAGCAACGTACTCCTCAATAAGTCAAAAGAGTCTTCTTCATTTCCATCTGAAATTCGGCGAATTGTGCACGTCAAACCTGCAAATTCTATCGCGTACCATTCTTAGACTGCCCACAGTCATCTAAAGACACGTCCTCCGCATCGAGAGCGACTGCATGCAGTTTCTCGTTTTTCAGAGCATTGGGTGAATTTACTAGCGAAAGCTACACCAGAACGTCCACGGATCTCTTACACTGTGGTACCTCTCCCAATGAAGATCTCCAGCCGGTTAAAGGGAGAGATTCGAAAGGTTCCATTGGCTCACGCTTCGGCGTGGTCGCCTTCTTCAGAGCCTGAAAGGATCGAAGCAATTTATGACTACCCGACCAAACGCCTCCGCTATCCTACTGAAATTCGAGAACAAAACAGGTCATCACGCAATACCAAGGTGGGCCACTTACCGTAACTTAGTCCGGTACTCGAGACCACCCGGAACCAGTAGTGAGACACAGCAATCCTAAACTAAACTTGATCTAGAGCCATCCTACTACATATACATATATATCCTTCTATTTTATAAAGCGCTAACTTTGTGTGTCGGTGTATGTATCTGTATGTGTGTATGTATGTATGTATGTGTGTCCGTCCGCAAAATGAAGTGAGTGAGAAGGAAGCTCATGGGATAAACAAACCGCTAACAAATCGGGTAGCTTACAGGATTTGAGATATCAATGTTTTGCAATGGCATGAGTTGTGATAACACCCCAACGGCTATATAAACACCACTTAGCACACTTTCGGTCATTCCACAAGGTGATGCTGTGGTAGCCGGCGAGCAGAGGGGAACGAGGGGAGAGTAAGGAGAGGAGGGAGAAGGGAAAGCTTACGCAAGGTAGGGAGGTTCCGGCGCTTGCCGGGGGACCAATCTGGTATCCTACTATATATAAGCGGCTAGCGTGTGTCTGTTGGTGTGTGTGTGTGTTTGACCGGAAATTCATAGCTCGAGTCACAGTAACGATAGCGCAGTGGTTCTTACATATGTTATAGGGGGTGGGATGGGGACACAAGTGGTACGTGATAGGAACTGATAACGACTGATAATAGCTGATAAGAGGGGCTAGAAAGCGAGCATCGCCAATTTCGTTTTGTCGTTCATATTGGTACTAGAGCGTCTATACTTACAAGTGTTATGTGGGGCGGTCCCGGGACATTGGTGGTACATGATTGGAAGCGATATACAAGTGTTATGTGGGGTGGGACGGGGACATTGTTGGTGGGTGCCAGAAACTGATAACGATTGATAAGGGCCGATAAGGCGCGCCAGAACGCTGAAAGTCGTCGATTCCGTTGCCTGGCTCGCGTTGACACCAGAGCAACCATACTTACAAGTGTTATGTGGGGTGGGACGGGGACATTGTTGGTGGGTGCCAGAAACTGATAACGATTGATAAGGGCTGATAAGGCGCGCCAGAACGCAAAGTCGTCGATTCCGTTACCTGGCTCGCGTTGACACCAGAGCAACCATACTTACAAGTGTTATGTGGGGTGGGACGGGGACATTGTTGGTGGGTGCCAGAAACTGATAACGATTGATAAGGGCTGATAAGGCGCGCCAGAACGCAAAGTCGTCGATTCCGTTACCTGGCTCGCGTTGACACCAGAGCAACCATACTTACAAGTGTTATGTGGGGTGGGACGGGGACATTGTTGGTGGGTGCCAGAAACTGATAACGATTGATAAGGGCTGATAAGGCGCGCCAGAACACTGAAGCCGTCGATTTCGTTGCCTGGCTCGCGTTGAAACCAGAGCAACCACACTTACAAGAGTTATGTGGGGTGGGACGGGGACATTGTTGGTGGGTGCCAGAAACTGATAACGATTGATAAGGGCCGATAAGGCGCGCCAGAACACCAAATTCGTCGATTCCATTGCCTAGCTCGCGTTGACCCCAGAGCAACCATACTTACAAGCGTTATGTCGGGTGAGACGGGGACATTGCTGGTGGGTGCCAGAGACTGATAACGATTGATAAGGGCTGATAAGGCGCGCCAGAACACTGAAATCGTCGATTCCATTGCCTGGCTCGCGTTGACACCAAAGCAACCATACTTACAAGTGCTATGTGGGGTGGGACAGGGACATTGTTGGTCGGTGCCAGAAACTGATAACGATTGATAAGG